CAATCATGTTGAGATCCGGGCTCTGTGGAGGCTGATCCATTAGTGACAGTGCTCCATGGTCTGTTTCTCTGTCCAGTTATGCTTTTACTGTATTGGCAGTGTTATGGATCACTGTCATGTTGAAAAAATGAAGCTGGTGTCATTGCATGGTGGATCAAAATCTGACAGTATTTTTCTGCATTCATAATTGCATCAGTTTTAAGAAGCTCCTCAACACCACTTACTGAGATACAGCCCGAAAGACAAAGGCAGAGTCTCCACCATGGCTGTAGGCATTCACTGGTGTACATCTTTCCTGATCTCCATACATACTCATAATCATTTTAATCAAAAATTTCCCCATTTGGAGTCATCACTACATTATACCTACTGTCTGATTTTCAGTCCAGTTCTTGTGTAAGTCAGCCTCAGAGTTTCCTCCCTGTTTCCCTTCCTGAAGAAGCGCTCCTTGACAGCCACCCATCCACTGAGGCCATTTCTGATGAAGCTTCAGTGAACAGTAGATGGATCAGCTAAAGGGTCAGATGCATCTCTCAGGTCCTGTGTCAGGTTTTTGCTGGATTTCTTCCTGTTTTTTAAGAACATGACATTCGCATGCTGTCTGTCTGCTGTGGATAGCTTTTCAGACCTGCCACATCTTCTTTTGTCCTCCTCTTGTCCAGTTTCCTCATTTTTTTGACTGCACATCATGTCGAGATGTGCCAGAGCTGAGAGCTCTTTGGGAATCGTGTTGCTTGTGAAAAGATTTTGTTTTATATCTGTTAACTCTCTGGTTTGTCAAACCATCAATATTTTTTATAGATTCAGCTGAACAAAAGTTGGGTTTTTGCAACAGCCTAAAGATACTATTTAAAATTGGTTCTTTTGATAAGTTTTATATTATGTGCAGAAACAACCGACGCTAGTTTATCCCTAGTTTGTCCCTAGTTTGTGTTTGTGTTTAATATCCTGATTACTGTATTAACCAACCACCCCAACAATAATTCATATTGTATGAACCAATGAAGTAATAGATAAAAAAATTAACGACAGAAAAATTCCATTTTTTTTCCACTGCTATAGAAATGTCTTTTTGCATATATAGTTTCCACTGTAAAATAAATAAAACAGGATATTTTTCTGTGTATTCACAAAGACATTCTGGTCATTAAGTTCTTACAATTTAAGCCCAAAGAATTGTGCTGACAGATTTCCTTCATTACCTGCAGCTTTTCTTTATAATGCAGAGAAAAGCAAGAAGTGCTGTTTAAATTTCACTTCTTTTTCTTATATTAGGATATCCCAGGAATTAAATGTGCAAGTAAACTACTTCAGTAAAAGGTAAGTTTCTCTGGTCCAGCCCACTTCAGATCAAACTACATGTGACCTGAGATGTAAAATGACTTTGACAAACCTGGTTTAAAGCCCGAGTTAAAAACTTCCCAACAGGTGATGAGCTATAAGGAAAAGCTTCTTTCTTGAAGTACGTAGTGAGCTAAATCCAGGTTAAACCTGTTATCTTTTGTTCATTTTCTTTCAGTCTAGATGATTACAGAGCAGGAGTTCTGAACGAGGAGAAGCTGAGAAAGAAAGAGTTTTGAGCTCTGGGACAACTAAGATGTGGAAAGTGCAAAAAATGGCTGCATACCATTTTTTGTGCCATACTGTTTGGAGCCAGGGGTTAAAGAGGAAATAAAGAAAACAAACAGACAAGACGCTGTGAGCGTGCTGTGGAACAGAGCACGCCAACATATCGAATACCTCGACTTCATTTGCAGCTGCTTGTGCGGTTGCTCCTGTAGGCAGAGCTGACAAGAACGCTTTCAACATGTACATACACCTACTTCAGGTTTCATGCTGTGCTGATGCACACGCCCGTGTGTGTGTGTGTGTGCGTGCGTGCGTGCGTGCCTGTGTGTGTGTGTGTGTCGAGAGAACACACACTGACAAAACAATCCCATTCAACTTAATGCCCCCCATGAGGGGAAAGTATATGTGTATACGTTTTTTGTATATGCAGCAGCCCTGGCGCACACACACGCACGCACGCACGCACGCACGCACACACACACAGAGCTTCCTGTAGGTAATTACAGTGTTAAGTGATGAGGGCCCTACAGTTCTCATTCTGACCTCCTCTGGAGGTGTGTGTCTGTGTGATCCTGTGTGTGTGTGTGTGTGTGTGTGTGTGTGTGTG